CCCCTTGAGGTGACGGCCGGGTCCCGTGTCTAGTGCGCCCCCTTGAGGTGACGGCCGGGTCCCGTGTCTAGTGCGCCCCCTTGAGGTTGACGGCCGGGTCCCTTCAGTTTCCTGTGATTCGCTGTATCGATCTGCAGCTGTTCCCAGCACCCCTTTGTCTGAGTGGTTCTGCCATTTGGTTTGGACTGTTTGAGTGGGTTGTGGTGTCACCATTGCTGTTTATCTCTTGCTGTCGAATTCCCACCCTTTAGTTATCTGCCTGATGTGTGTCCTCTTTGTTCACCTTTCTCATGTGTTGTTCTCCTTCCCTATTTGTATGTCTCTTCCCTGTGTGTGTCTCTCTCTCACTCCCAGATTGGCGAGCTCAACAACTCTTGCGGCTTGAAGGACCCCTTCTGGACCCCCGCCTCTGTGTGCGGCATGACCACGCCCCCTCCCTCACGCGGCATCTCGCCCACTGGCATCGCCGAGTCGACGCGCAGCTCCTCTAACTTCCCAGGCCGCATCCACGGGACCCTGGGTGAGGTGTTCAGCTCCGTGTCTGACTGATGTCTGCCTGGTGGCACATGGCTGATAGTTATGGCACCCTGATGGAAAGTTCATCTTGTGTTGGTACAGATGAATCTCTGTCCCTGTAACTGTCCCTGCGTAAAAATGTAGTTAAGAACCGCGGCTACATGCACTGAGAGACACTGAATTTTGTTTTGTCCCTTTTGGTTTCCTGCATATGAATGTTGTTTATTTAGTTTTGTCTGTCTCTCCCACATAGGCAGCAGCAAAGGGATGCCCTCGTTCTCCACACCCGTGACTGCCACTCCGCCCCCAACTCTCTCGGATGTGTTCTCAAATGCTTCCCGCTCATCTGGGACCTCCAGCCCCCCACGCAAGGTACATGTGCGGATATGGGTTTGGATGGACCAAGCTGGTGTTCTCTAAATCATGGGTGGGGCTCTTCCTGTGTACTGTGACGTGAGGCCTTCACAGAAGTGTCAATCCGGGAGTGCGTAAATGTCCTAGAATTTTTTTATTATTCTGGTTTTAGTTCAAAAGTTATACTATTTAAAAGTTTTTAGTAAAATTCATTTGGCTAACTGGTGAATGGGGATGGATGATGGAAATTGGAAGAATTTGAATCTTATGTAATTGCAAGACAAGTTGTATACAGCAGAATATCTTGTGCCACAGGAAGCAGGAAGTCTCAGTGTGTCTTGGCAAAGGTCATCGTATATCTGTGTATGTATATCTAGAATGGGAACCTGATGAAGGATTTAATCTGCAGGACAACAGATCCCTGGAGTACCTGAAGCCTGGCTTGGTGAGACAGGAGCCAATCAGCGAGCTGGAGAGGAGTCACATGGAGGCTGTCGAGACAGGAGGTCAGCAGAGGAAGCATGTGGCAAGGAGGCGGAGTCATCTATAAATATTTAGATTTTTCGCTGGCTTATTGGCTGTGATAACAGACATGGAGACAGTACTGAGGAAATGTAGCTGGTTCATAAACTGGACGTATATCCACCTGGTTGAAGGGCCCGTTTTCCTACCTGATAGACGACCATCGGGCCGCACAGCCTGGGGGTATATGGAGGGTGTGCAGGCTTAGCCTGGGGGTATATGGAGGGTGTGCAGGCTTAGCCTGGGGGTATATGGAGGGTGTGCAGGCTTAGCCTGGGGGTATATGGAGGGTGTGCAGGCT